TAAAGTAAATTGAAGTTATAACTACAACTTAAAATAATAGGCAATAGTCAATAGACAATTCTAAACATTTCTAAACAATTAAAAATAAGAAGACGCTTAAAACTAAAAAATTACAAAGGTAATCATGGAATAGCACCAACTACAATTTTAAGGCAAATAAACAATTAATATGTCGGCCTTCCATAACATTTGAAAGTCTCTTCTAATATACCAACTTTACTTTTTGGGTAAAGAAGTTAAAACACTTATTTTTTTTTTTAACTTAGAAATTAAACACTTATTTATTGCCTCTTCCTTTACCCTAGCAAAGCTTAATAAAAATGTGCACATTACCTTCTTGATTTGATGACTATAAATCATATTATAAGTACATTCCAATTCAAAAATTGAGTTCCAAAATTTTCACTCCTAAAGTTTAACTGTTTTTTTTAAAAAAACTTAATAAAAATATGTAAAAATCTAAGATAAAAACTCTATAAAATAAAAACAAACTCTCTTAAAAAGAAAAAGCATTCACAAAAAGTAAGAAACTCTTACCTTTTGTTCATTTTGCTTAATTTTTACGAAAGATATCTGGTCCTTCGAATCAATCGGCAACCTGTTAGTTTAAAGTGCATTTTCTCTCCCTATGAGCGGGTTTCGAACCCGCTCCTTAACAACTTGTTCAAAAAAAAAAAATTTCTTACAAAGGAGAGAGAGGATGCAGAGACTGAAAAACACAGGAAAGAATGCAACGACTATTCTATGAGAGAGGGAAGAAGAGAAACACTAGGATATAGCATTAGTAATCCCCCCACCAAAAAAAAAAAAAGAAGGAAAAATTGTAAGTTATACAACATAAAAAAATAAAAATAAAAATATCTTAATATTTAAATGTTAACACTCTTTATAAAATTATTTTAATATTCTTGATGAACCATCCTTTGATATTAATTCATTAAAAGTATTAAAATAATATCATAAAAAATCTTATCAAATGTCTTAATTTTTCACAATCTTATATGCTCTTTTTAGGTAGATTTAGTTGTTATAATTTGATTTTGACATAAAATTTAATTAGATAATTTTATATAATAAACAAATAACAATTAAAATCTTTTTATATATTTAGCACTTATTAAGTATTTTTAATTAGATAACAAAAATTTTTAATTATCATTTATTTATATAAAAGTTAAATTAAAATATCAAAAATTGATTTGAAGGAGTAACATTTATTTATAATCATGGCTCCATGTATAATAACATTATGATATTTTATTTTGTATGGCAGTCTAAACATTAGTAGGATTTTGACATTCGGTAATAAAGGCAATTAAATTCCGAAGAAAAAAAATCCAAGATTATTTATGAGATAATTGAAATAGAAAAAGTCTAGCTTTTTTTCCTTAAGCAAAACGCAAAGGCTTCATTCTTCCATTCTTTAACCATTATTACCAAAATTTCCATCTACATTACCCCCTAAACTTTCGTTTTCCTCTATTTTCCTTCTCCACTTTCTCTCTTCCCAAACAACCATGGGAATCTCCTGGAGCAGCACCGCCTGTAACAGAAGAAGAAACCAAAATTACCCCCACAACCCACCTCCGCCACCTCCTTATTATTACCCTCCAGAACCCCCATCTCTCCCTCCTCCTCCTCCTCCTCTATACCCATCAAGCCATCCCTATCCTGCGCACCCTCAAAACCTTTATCACTTGCATCCTCCCCCAGTTCATAATTCTTACTATGGTGCGCCGCCGCCTCCCCCCTATAGTTGTGGTTACTCAAATCCAACGGTCGGTCGGTTCCCTTATCAGTACCATCATTCTTATTATGCCGGTCAGTCAAGCGGATGGCCCGCGATCACCAATCCTGTGGGTCTGCCTCAGCAGCCGGCTCCGCCGCCGCCGCCATTAGTGGAGTATCAGAGCGCGAAGAAGGTCAGGAATGATGTGAACGTGCACAAGGATACAGTAAAGCTTGAGGTGGATGAAGAAAACCCAGATGATCACTTGGTTTCTTTCGTTTTTGATGCCCTGTTTGATGGGAGGTGAGAGCAATTTTGATTTTGTTTTTGTGTCCTGTGATTTTGTTTTTCAATTGCTGGGATTGAATTTTTAAGATTGTATTTTTTACTACGAGGTTGCTTGTCCTTTTGTTTGGTTTTGATTGACAACTAAGATTGCACTGGAATTGAAATTGAAGTATATATCTAGATTGAAAATTTACTAATTCTTGGAGATTAGAACTATTTCAAGATTTGCTTATGATGGAAAATATTAGGAAAGGAGAAAAGCTTTAATCTTGCACTTCAGAGCTGATATAACCGTTTGGCAAGGTGGTAAAACTGAAGGATTTAAGATTTTCCTGATTTTCATTTGAACAAAAAAAAAAAAGCAAAGGCTTTTTCTTCTGTAACAATGAAGAAATAAATTTTAAGACATGGCCATGGCTTTTTTCTCCTTAGAAAGCAAAGACGTTAAAATCCTTAAAGTCTGGGAATCAGGTTTGGGGGAATGGCACAGCCAACTTTATGTAAACAGAAGAGGTTATTTTTTATGGTTAATGCAATAGCTTCTGTAGCTCAATTCAACAACTCAAGCTGTGAACTTTAGATAAAAATTAGGAACTTTAGATTCTTTGAAGGAAAATGATTTCAAAATGAACATAAGACCTTGACTTGGAGTTCCTTCTAATCTTAACTTTGAAAGGCAGTGCATGGGCATTGTTAGTTCTTATAACTTTGTATAGAAATTTGGTTGATTTTAGACAGGTTTTGGTGATTGAACTTGGGGACCAAATTCAGTCTTCTTTTAAGCCTTACTTAACAAGGGGTTCTACACTTTAGCATGCTTGTCACTGCCCTTGTTAGTACTTCGCTAAAAGCAACACATCTTGATGTTTTTTCAAGTTGTCCAAGGACCACTACCAACTCACTGTCTGTAACTCTACTCTTTACCCATAATAATGTGTTCTGGGTTAAAACTTTTGGCCCATGTCTTTTCTAGAAGGGGGCTCACCTTTTTCATCCACAATTTCTTTCTTTTCCTTACCTTGAATGGATTTTAGGGAGAGTCCACTTGGTAGACATGGTTCCTATTTTCCAGGAAAATATTATTGGTTTTAGTTTGGTAGCTGAACAAAGGATGAGTGATGCTACAATGCTGTTTCATCTAAAGCAAGTAACCTTATGTTGAAATTCTGTTGATTTGGGTCACTTACCCTGACAAATATAACTCTTCATGCAAAGCAAGTAACTTTAGTTGCAATTCTGTTAATTTGGGTCACTTAAGCTTACAAATATAGACTATAGAATGGATGACAGAAGAACTTCCTCCTGTGAGCGGAATGTAAATGGAGATGTTGTTCATGAAATGTCAGTACAACTAGTTCAAATAACAAGAAAGGCACTG